TCAGCTCGGCCTTGCTGCTGCTGCTGCTGCTGCTGCTGGGGGAGATGACTGGGCCGTGCAGAGGTATCGTAGACTCCGTTATGTTGCGGTGCTGAAGGGGCAGCAGCAGCAGCAGTTGCTGCTGCTGCTGCTTCTGCTTCTTTAATCTCCCTTGCTGCAGCCATCAAGGCAGGCCGCATGGAGTGAGGCGGAGTGTAATGAAGATAATCTTCTTCTGTCTCGAATTTTATGTTTTGTAAGAAAGAAAGACATGAAAAACGACCCATTGCTTTCTTATATTGATCGGACGCTTCTATCAATGGCTTAGCTGCTGCTGCTGCTGCTGCTGCTGCTGCTGCTGTTCCTGTTGCTGCTGTTGCTGCTGCTGCCGATGGGGGTTCTTCGCCGCTACCGCATGAAGCAAGCTCAGCCTGCCCGTCGCCTTTGCTGCTGCTGCTGCTGCTGGCGGAGTAGCTGCGGCTGCTACTGTAGCTGCTGCTGCTGCTGTAGCGTGGCAATTGCTGCTGCAGCAAGGGAAAGTTTGCCTCAGAGATATGCAGACAGTTTGGGTTGTTGAGTGCTGTCGTGCTGCCGTAGAAGTCTCTGCGCCGGCGTCGCTGCTCCTGCCGCTGCTGCTGCTGCTGCTGACGATCGTCGTCGCTGCTGCTACCGCTGCTGCGGCTGAGGCTGCGGCTGGTTCTGCTGCTGTCGGAGGACCGAAAGCATCTTCTGCGTTTCCCCAAAGAATCATGGCGTTGCTGCTGCTGCTGCTGCTGTTCCTGCTGCTCCTTGCCAAGCCCTAGAAGGTCTCGAAGCCTGAGGACGATTGCCTGGCAATATAATCTGTATTTTGTGGCGTCGCGCTCAAACACCTGCATGCAGAGAGTACAGCAGGGCCAGCATTTAGGGTTTAGGGTTCAGGGTTTAGGGTTTAGAGCTGTGCGATGTGGCCTGAAGGGGAGGGCTCAAGGGCTGGCACGTATTTTCCAGGCCGCGTGTCCCGCCTAGGGTTTAGGGTTTAGGGTTTAGGGTTTACCTCGTAGCTGCAGGCATTGAGGTTTTCAGCTAGCGGCTGCATTGGCAGCTGTAGTAGATTTTCATGAGAACGACAGAAAAGAGCAGCAGAAGACAGAGGAGGCAGCGAGCCCATCACAAGCTGGAGGTAACGTGTGTGCGCCTGCAACTCCCTGTAAGTACATCCGCTGCTGCTGCTGCTGCTGCTGCTCTTGCTGATGGGGTCGCTCTCCCCCAGTCGGCTCAACGGACCCACCCACGAGCTCTCGCCGTTGCTGCTGCTGTTGCTGCTACTGCTGCTGCTGCTTGAATTTGCTGCCTCGCCAGGAGTAGCCGCTGCTCGCTTCGTTCGGTCAACATCTACTGCTGCTGCAGCTTCTTCTACTGCTGCACCTTCTGCTGTTGCTGCTGCACNGCTGCTGCTGCTGTTGTATCTGTGTCTTCCTCTCTGTCGTCGACGATGACCAGCCGCGTGCGGAGTTCTGCGCAGCGCAGCAAAAAGAGGAGATGCTGCCTCAGCAATGTCACCCGCTGCTGCTGCTGCTGCTGCTGCTGTTGCAGCTGGAGGAAGATGCTCGTCGGGATGAGTATACACCGCAGCGGCTCCGCTAGCCACCGCTGCAGCACCCACTCTGATGGGAGGTCTTCTGTTAGCTGCAGCGCCACGCCAAGGTGTGCAGACACCCCAACTACTTGCTGAATAAAACACCATTGCTTCCATGGATCCAGCTCCTCCTGTGGTTGCTGCTGCTGCTGCTGCTCATCATCACCGTATTCCGTAGCCTGCTGCTGCTTCTCGCTGCTGTCAGGAGCCCCGTGCAGCACCTCGTGCTGTTGCAGCTCCAGCAGCACTGCAGCAGCAACTGCTGCCTCCGGTGTCTTCGCACCGAGGGCAAGAGCATCTCTCCTTGCTGCTGCTGCTGCCGCTGCTGCTCCTGTCTGTTTGCTGTACTGCAGCGGCAGCCGCACCCACAACGTTGGCGGCTGCAGTTGGGACAACCAACTTTTTATCGTCCTGCAGCAGCAGCAGCAGCAGAAGCAGCAGCAGCAGATATGCAACTTCGCAGCAGCTGGGGCAGCAGTTGTGCCCGCAGCTGAAACAGCAGCATCTGCAGCAGCAACACGAACGCGCGGCATCCAACGCAGCAACAGCAAACCCGAGAAAAGCACCAACAAGAGCAGGAGGAGCAGCAACAGGAGCAGCGGGATCAACAGCAGCAGCACCAGCAACACAAGAAGCGGGGAGAGCAGCACATTCGCCAGCACCACCGTCGCCAGTACCACCATCACGAGCACCACCATCACGAGCACCACCATCACGAGCACCACCAAAAGCAGCAGCAGCAGCAGCAAAAGCAGCAAGAGCAGCAGCAGTATACCTTGCGAGTAGTATAGGTGTATTTGTGGTTGGGGGGGGCAGAATGACTGCCTGTAGATTCAAGTGANATACCTTGCGAGTAGTATAGGTGTATTTGTGGTTGGGGGGGGCAGAATGACTGCCTGTAGATTCAAGTGAGCAGCAAAGGAAATCTCAGCGTTGAGGTGGCGCTGATGAAAGCTGCTGCTAAGGAAAGGAGAAGCTGCTGCTGCTGCTGCCAGCTGGAGCAACTCCTCCTCCTCGTCCTTCTCATCCTGCTGCTGCTGCTCTTGCTGCTGCTGCCGCCGCAGCAAACGCTCTGCTGCTGCGGTGCTGTCCCGACAGAGCCGCTTCACACGCTCACGGGCTGTCGCTAGGGGGAGGACTGGTTGCTGCTGCAGCTGCTGCTGCAGTTGTTGCAGCAGCTGCTGCAGCGACTGTTGCTGCGTTGTTGCGTTGGTATTCGGCTGGGTTTCCTGCTGCTGCTGTTGCAGTTGCTGCTGCAGCTGCTGCTGCTTCTGCAGCAGCTGGCGCCTCTTAAGGAAGCTATAAATTCGCTGCAGCCTCTCCGGTAAGCAGCTGTTCTCATATCGCTCTGCCGTGTCCCAAGTGCTGCTGCTGCTGCTGCGGCTGCTGCTGCAGTCTGGGTGTATCCAGGTGGATGTACACCCCAGTACGGACCTGTTCCAGTCATCACAGCGGAGGTGCAAATCGCTCTGCCCGAGCGGCATGAAGGAGGAGAAGCAGCAGCTGCCTCCCCACAGCCACGGATCTGAGCTCATATCTAGTCCTGCTGCTGCAGCAGCTGCTGACTCTGCTGCTGCTGCAGTTGCTGTTGCTGCTGCTGCTGCTGCTGCGTGCTTTCCTACCACTTCTGGTGCAGCTGTTGATGCCGCCGGAGCATCAGCAGCAGCAGTAGAAGCAGATGCAGCAGCAGATAAACACTGCAGCACGCTTCCCTTGGGGTCAGCCAGCGGCAGCAACAAAAAGTCGATGGGCAGAAACTCCTTCAGTTTGGAGAGGAACTCAGATATATCATCAATGCTGCTGCTGCTGCTGCTGCTGTTGCTGCTGCAGCTGCTGCTACTGCTAGTACAGCCTGCGCATGCGCCGCATCCTGTGCGCTGCTGCAGCTGCTGCTGCTGCTTTGTGGGTAGGCGGTGGTTGAGGCTCAAGACCTTCCGTCGAGACACCTGAAGGCCCCGCGGCTCCAAACCTAANTGGGTAGGCGGTGGTTGAGGCTCAAGACCTTCCGTCGAGACACCTGAAGGCCCCGCGGCTCCAAACCTAAAGAAAGCTGAGAAGGCAGCGGAGACGTCTCAGGCATATGTAGCGGCATCTTCGTGCTGCTGCTGATGCTGATGCTGTTGCTGCTGCTTCTGCTATTGCTGCTGCTGCTGCTGCTGTTGTTGCTGCTGTTGCCACTGGTGCTGTTGCTGTTTATGCTGTTGTTGTCATTGTTGTCGATGCTATTGCTCCTGCTGCTGCTGCTACTGCTGAGGCGGACGCAGGGTGTGCTGCCGATGCTGTCGTTGCCGCCTGTGCTCCTGCTACCGATGCTGTCCCTGAAGGAGAGCAGCCCCTTCTGATCTTGCTGCTGCAATCGTTGTTCCTGCTCCTGTTGTTGTTGCTGCTGCCTTTGTTGTTGCTGCTGTTGCGGTTGTTGGGAGTTCTATGCAGCAGCGCCAGCAGCAGCAACGAGGCTGATGATGCAGCAGTCGATACACCGCAAAAATCGGGGAGCTCCTGAACTCTTCCCACTGAAAAAAGGGGCTCAAAAAACCCTAAACCCTAAACCCTAAACCCTAAATTCTAAAACCTAAACCTTAAGCTTCACAGCTGGAACAGCCAGACAGATACCGGGGGGCCCCGTGGGGTTGGGTTGGGCCCCTCATTGGGGCTTCAGCTGAGCTCAAGCAACAGAAACGAGAGACAGTAAACCCTGAAGGATAAATTCCTGTGAGTATCAAGGGTTTATGGTTTAGGGTTTAGCATTTTGGGTTTATACGGCTTCCTGTTGAGACATCGCCTGCATAAGCAGGGTTGACGCCCAAAACGCAACCAGCAGCAGCAGCAGCGGTATATGCAAATACAGATGTAGATGCAGTTTACTCCCCGAAGCAGCAGTAGCAGCAATTGCCGCTGTGTAGCCAGTGCAGCAGCAGCCGCAGCGGCAGCTGTCTGGGGAGCAGCCCAGTGTTCACATCCCACCCACGCTGCTACCACAGGACGCCAGCCTAAGCATCAGCTAGCTACAGCTAGCCACAGCTAACTACAGCTAGGTACAGCTATCTACAGCTTGCCGAAGCTAGCCACGGGTAACCACGTACAGCCGAAGGTAGCAGCAGCTAGATACAGCCAGCCACAGCTAGACACAGCTAGTCATAGCTAGCCACAGCTGACCACATATATTTACACGTAACTACAGCTAGCCACGGTCTGCGAGGGTTGTGGAGTCTCTGTAGCGGCGGCGGCTGCACGCTGATAATCGCAGAAGCACAGGTGCTCACCCCTGCTATTTCTGGTGCTGCTGCTGTTGCTGCTGCTGCTGCTGCTGCTGCTGCTGCTGTGGAGTCAGTGGCTGGCTTTGTTGTGGGCCCGCCCCAGCCCTTCTGTCCCTAAACCCTGAACCCCAGACGGTAGAGAAGCTCCCACCAAACCCCAGCAACAACTGCTTTATCACTGGACGCGTAAATGCAAAACCCGAAACCCCAAAGTCACATCTGCAAAAGGCTAAAACCCTAAACCCTAAACTCTTTGTGACAAAAAGAGGCCTAAACTCTAAACTCTAGGCCAGATACAAACCCTAAACCCTAAACCAGGATCGCAATACTCTTCAGGAGGGTTTGCTAACCCCAATCATTAACTATAAACCCTAGACGCTTGCCTCGTTTCTCTGGCTTCCGAATAAACCAAGTGTACTATGCACCAGCAGCAGCAGCTGGAGCAGCAGCAGCTGCTTCTGCTGCTGTCAACGAAATTGTGTNGTGTACTATGCACCAGCAGCAGCAGCTGGAGCAGCAGCAGCTGCTTCTGCTGCTGTCAACGAAATTGTGTGTTTTTGTTTAGTAAAATTTATAGAAGGCATCTGTCCCTTTAACCCTTCTAAGGCCGAGAGCGCTTAGCCCTTCTGCAGCTTGCTGCTGCTCCCGTTGCTTCGTTCTTGGGGTTACAGGTTCCTGCTGCTCGTGCTGCTGCTGCTGTTGCTGCTGCTCCTGAAGCTGCTGTTGCTGCCTTGCATCTGCTCCCTGAGCTCTGGTTGGATCTGCCCATGATATTCTTAGAGGAGAAGACCCCGACGGGCGACGCGTAAATAACGCAGGAAGAGCAGGCTGCTGCTGCTGTTGCTGCTGGCCTTGGCAGCGATCCTGCTGCTGCTGTTGTTGCTGGGGCAGCTGTGCGGAACTCTGTTGAAGTTGCTGCAACTGCGGCTGTTGTTTCATCGGTTGTTCTTCCTGTTGTTGCTGCTGCTGACCCGGCCTTGCTGCTACTGCTGCTGCACCTGCAGTTGCTGCTGCTGGCCCTCCAGCAGCCTGCCGCTGCGATACCCCCCCCAACTTCGCTGCTCGGGTGTCTGCTGGTGGGGAGGCAGTGGATTTATGTGCTGCTGCTGGTGCTGCTGCAGCCGTTGCTGCAGCTGCTGCTGGGGATTTTGCTGCAGCTGTTGGTATCGGTCGTGCTGCTGCTGCTGTTGCTTCTGCAGGCGTGTCCGTTCCTGGTCTATGAGGAGCAGCAGCAGCTGCAGCACCATGAGCAGGAGCTGCAGCAGCAGGTGCATCAGCAGCATCGCCCGCTGCAGAAGTTCCTCTGATAGGCAATTCTTCAGAAGAAGTGTGCGTGGGATGCTTAGCAGAAGAAGAAGCAGCGAGTTTGTTTCTGTCTGTTGCATCGACTGCAGCAGCAGCTGCTTCTGCTGCTGGTGCTGGTGTTGTTGCTGCAGAGGGGTATGAGCGCTGGACTGCAGCAGCTGTTGTTTGATGGGGCTTCGGCTGATCGACTGCCGGTGCCGCTGCAGTTGCTGCTCTGCTTTCTGCTGCTGCTGCTGTTGCTGCTCTGGCTTCTGCTGCTGCTGCTGCTGCTCTCGACGGGGGCAACGGCGGCGCCACCGCAGCAGCAGAAACACCAGAAGCAGGACCACGCAACGCAGGCCGAGCAGAAAGGCGAGGGGGCATCCCTACTGCTGCTGCAGCATTAGCAGCAGCAGCAGCACTACTAGCAGCACCACCACCACCTGCCTTGCTAAAGATCGAGTCTTCAGAAGCAACGCGGAAGAGAGGCAGCACGAGTTCATCGCTGCGGTGCAGCATAGCCTCCTCTTGCTGCTGCTGCTTTTGCTGCTGTTGTTGTTGTTGCTGCTGCTGCTGCTGCTGCTGCTGTAGCAGCAGCAGCTGATGCTGTCTAGCAGCACCTCTAACCACCCCATACACCGCCGTGGCCCAAGATGTGCGCGAGGCGACAGACTGCTCCTGGCGATTGATTGCTGCTTGAGCTTCCTGCTGCAGCTGCTGCTGNATGTGCGCGAGGCGACAGACTGCTCCTGGCGATTGATTGCTGCTTGAGCTTCCTGCTGCAGCTGCTGCTGCAGCATCAAGAGCAACTCCGGGGGCTTCATCGGCATCCACTTGTGGGGCAGAAGCAGCGTCAGCAACGCATAGAGATCCTGATAATGACTCTGTAGCGACTGCAGCAGCAGCGGCAGCTGCTGCACCAAGCTTGCTGGTGAATGGCATGCTGCTGTGCATACACTCCCGCAGGAAACACTTAATACAGGTTGCTTCGTGCTGCTGCTGCTGCTGCTGCTGAGAGACAGCGTAAATTCTTGCTCCCTAATGGCGATGCTGAGGATCTCTTCTCCTGCAGGCTGCGCTGCTGCTGGTGCTGCTCTTGTTGTTGTTGCTCTTGCTGCTGCTGCTGCTGTTGGCGCCGCTGATGCAGACTGCTCTGGAGCTGCTGCAGCTGTAATGCCTCCTTCTGGGCCTTCGCCTGCCCCTGGAACGATAAGATAAGGGTATGGAGCTCCTGAGCTGCTGCTGCTGCTGCT